CGCGCAAGCGCCACGCGGCGGTCCTCCCGCTCCCTGTACTCCGCGCGGACCATCTCCGCCTCCCGTTCCTCGTTCTCGGCACGCACCTGCGCTGAGGTCGCCCGTCCCTTGCCTTTGTCCTGGCGCCCCTCACCGCCGTCTCCACCACTGCTTCCCGCACGCTTGTCACCCGCTCCATTGCTCGATCCGACGGCACCTCCACTGGTGTTGTTGGTGTTGGCCATTTTGGTTGCTGGTCCGGTGTGTGGTGAGCTGAGTTGGTGGTGGTTGCGGAGAGAAAATGTTTGTTGACTCAAACTTACGGCATCACGTCACGTGACTATACAGTCCCGTTCTCGGAACGAGCGGAGCCGAGAAAATTCGAAATTATATTCAAAAAATCCAAAGACCATTTCTTATGCCTTACGATCCATTATTCACGACTCCGACAGTTATCCTCCGAATTCTCCCATCGGACCTCCACCACCGGACGTTCGCCTAGGGAGTCGAACCCTAGAGGGGGATACTGTTATATCCATGCACCTCTGACAAACTACTCCGATCGGTCCCTCCGGCTCTGATCGCGCTCCGTCTCCTCGGAGCGCATCGGACCGCCGGAGTAACGGAACGATCGGAGCTCCAACAAAACATCGGAACGATCTCCTATCATCTGACACCTTGGCAAGACGCCATCCCACACATTCCTTATTATCCTAAGTCCTCCGACTTCTTACTTATTGTTTCAACATCGTTCTTTTTGTCACCTGACTTCTTTCTCCCCTTTCGGACTTACCTTTATTGTTATGTCCGCATGGTTTCTAACATATCTCCTTTACCTATTACAATAAGGAGCTCTAGTATTTAATCTTGTCCTACATCCTCCTGTACTTCAGTTTTATGATAAATGTTGCTTCACCCTGTTCCTCGTGAAGTAGTCTGGTCGTTCCGCTCCGTCACTCCGCCGGAGCTCCGCTTCTGTCATCTCTCTCCCTCCGACGATATCCTGCAGTAACGCTCGTCCAATTATCCCCTCTGTGGCGTAGCGTCATCCAGTCCGCCTTTCACCAGCTCCGACTCCGGGCTCCGGTTCCGTTCTGTCCGGCCCGCCGCTCACCCGTAGTGGTAGGAGAAAGGCTTCCTGTGTGGCTCTAGCCATAACATAAGATGTCTTCCTGCACGGCTGTAGCCAGCCACCTAGTTGGCCAAATGAATTAAATAAATGGCAAGGCTGGGATTCGAACCCAAAACCTTAAGCCAATCTAGATTATCATATCAACCTAGATCAGACACCATAACCTCCTGCTAGGTGCGAAGTCGGAACACAAGCCCGTTCTGAGTTTCGTCCGCGACACCGAGCGACTGCCGCGCTACGCGCTGTAGGCGAGTGTTTACCTTACTATATCTCTCTTTCCTTTCTCTCTCTCTCTCCCATCTCTCTTTCTCTCTCTTTCATACATACTGCCTCTGCCGTGACACCTTGCCGTAGTTTACCAAACCACCTACCCTCACCCTCAGCGACCGCATTGCACACTCCAACCCTCCCGTCGCCTCCCCACCCACCTTACTTCACCTATAGGCCAGCTAGCGTACCGAACTGTATTACGTATAGTGCTACATGGGCCCCAAGGGGCCCGCGCGCACTCTAATGGAATCTGAATTGAATTGAATTGAATTGAAGACACCATAACCAACTGAGCCAAGAGGCCATTGACAACAGCCACTGATATAAGAACAGATTAGGTCCAGCCAAGCACACATTTTAGCTGTAAACCAACCCATTATGGCCCGCATAGGGCCACTGGTTAGGGTTTGGGGTTAGGGTTCTGGTTAGAGGTTAGGGTTAGGGTTGGTTAAAGTCAGGGTCCCCAGGGATATATGATGTCTTATTGGTTAAGGTTTGTGTGGTTAGGTTGGTTAGGGTTTTTGGTTAGAAGGTGAGGGTTTAAAACATTGCCAAGCACATAATAGTCTTGAAGGAAAAGGTTTCATTTATGGCCCTTTTAGTGTAGTGGTTAGTAGCATGCAGGTGAAAAAAGATCTGAATCCAATAGGTCTGCGGTTCAATCCAGTGAGCAGCCACTCTCTTTTTCCTTTCTGAATGCCAGGATCACTGTTTCCTGGCTGCAGCCACCCCCCTGGCTAGGTCCGGGCAGGAAGACAACCTACGTTATGGCTACAGCCAGGCCAATTAGACTATATATTACATCTACGGCTCCGCCGCTCCGCTTCGTATCTGTTGTTAGTTCGACTGGCCCTATATCCCTCCGTACCATCTTCTGGACGACTCGGATATAACAGGGTAGGACTCCGCACTCCGGTCGTCACCGGAATCCGGGGCCTCATCCTCGTCCTCCTTCTCCTTCTCATCCTCATCCCTCTCCGTCTCTCCCTCGTCCTCGTCGTCTGCATCGTCCTCGGCACCTGTAGCACCACCGGGAGCGACCTTGGAGTCGTCCGGCTGCGCCACGGGTCCCGGAGTGTCGCGACGGGGTTTGGTGAGCGACTTCACCAAATCCACAACGCTGACATGGGGACCGAGCGCATCGAGCTCTTCTCGTACAACAAGAAGACGTCGAGCGCTCTCGTCCGCCTCCGACCGCGATTCCGGCCTCGGCGCCCGGAGCAGAGCTCTGAGCTGACGCTGCAGCTCAGACCTCCGCTCGTTGAGCTGCTGCTGCTCCATGGCAGCCTCCTGCACCTCGTCATCCTGGATCTGGCGTGCGGTCGCCTTTCCCTTCCCCTTGCCTCCTCCGACGTTTTCGCCACCGATCCGCCCCGCTCCTTGCCCAGCATCACCTCCACCACTCCCTGCACCTCCGTTCGTGTTGCTGTTGGTTGCGGACATGTTGCTAGTGTTGTGGTTGGGTTCCGGGTGGTAGTAGGAAGCAAAAGAGTTGTTGACGTGTCAACTTACGGCACCGAAAACGTGACTCAGCGCACGGGCCGGGCACGTGATCAGCTTGGACTTTTCCGTCCTCAACAAAAAAATTTCAAAATCTTCATCAAAAAATTCGTTGACGAATTTCCTCAACTTTCAAATCATTCGGCCTTGGTTATAAACCCATATCGGTATCCCTTTGGATTTCTCTTGCTAACCATTTCCGACTCCGGTTGGAATGTTTGGCATGAGAGCCAAACCCAAGAGGGGGATACTGTTATATCCATGCAACCACACCCCTGGACAATGGTCTTCGTCACCCAAGACCACTCCGGTCCTCTATAGGCACTCCGGTCCACTCCGGTGTTTCCGGAGTCAACCGGAAACCCGGAGCCAACCGGAAACTGGGTATCAGTATTGGAATGACTTCTCGCGGTCTGTTGTGGCTGGTATCAAGTGGTAACAACCTCTCCACATGTTCCCTCTTGCCTTCCATCGCCTCATGGCAGATTTCATCACCTCATGTTTCATTTCCCAAGATCAATACTGATACAGGTCGAACTTCTCTTACCGCTTATGGACTTCCTATTCTTTCAACCATATGCTCGTCCACATGTTACTCCTTATCTCCTTTACACTAAATTAGGATCCTACACTATTTAATCAGCTAGCATACTCCCTGTTCTTCAGTAGTTTAATAAACGTCACTTCCCCCCTTCCGGAGTGGTGCCAGTCGCTCCTCTCTTCCCCCAGACCCTTCCTCTTCCTCTAGACGATACCTGGCAGTACACGCTCACCCTGCACCTCAGTGGTGTTGTGTCAAGCAGCTCCGCCGATCCCCTCTGTCGACTCCGGTTACTCCGGCCTACTCTCCGGCACCCCGGTTATCCTGGAGTACCTTGTACGACTCCGGCCGACTGTTCCACTATCCCTTAACCCTGCGGCTTGGCTCGTAACACTAGCCCCCAACGAGGAACTAAAAACCTCGAGGAACCTAGCGCTCACATCCTAATCCTCACGGAAACGGATTGTACCATCTCACCACCACCACCACAATTATATAAACCTTCTGTAGCGTACAAGTAGCTACGTTTCTCCGCGACAGAGTAATTTCCCTCTAGAGGACGAATCACCTTCGTGTACTTGCTTGCCTGAAACCAATTCACTGGTCAGACATCTCACGGAACCGCAGTCCGCATCACACCGTGCATGGATGTAACAAACTCCGACAGCCCAACAGTGCCCTTCGGCGCCGCCATGCAGAGCACGGTGGCTGTGCGGCAAGAGCCCATTCATAACACCTTACATGCCTGGACGACACCCCCGAAAATAACCGGTTATTCTGACCGAAGCAGCTGGGAGGGACTGATCGGAGTGGTATGTCGGAGGTCATGATGCATGGATATTCCAGTTGGCTCCAGGTTTCCGGTGTGCACCGGAAACACCAGAGTGAACTGGAATGGTCTAGAGTGATGGATACAATGTTCTGGGGTGTTGTTGCATGGATATATGTTAAAGCTGTGCCCAAATATTACAGCAGTTCCAACTGGGCCAAAAGACCACTGTCATCGGTTGAGGCTGATTACTACTGCCTTTGGACTATATATAGTTGATTACACCCTTCTTGGCACGGATGTAACAATATAACACATCCTTATACAGCCCTTCTTGCGACCCGAACCCCAAACTCACCATCTTCCCATTATGAATAGATTTTAAACAATTTGGTGGAATTTTTGCGCAACTGTAAAGCAGAACGACTTCATTCGGAGCTCGGGCTTTCTTTGGATCAAGCTTGTCTGCAGACAAACCTTGACCTATTGTAATATGGATCTACTGTAATGTTATCCAAATTAAATAAAAAAGCCGACACCTGTGCGATTCAAACACAAAAATAGAACGTAGTGAAATTTTTGCTCTACACCTCCAAGAATGTCCGGCCCAAAAATGGCTTATATAAGTTTAACCGGCTCGGGCCAAAAAGTACCCGAAAAAATCAACCAAAAATATTTTTCACCTTCGTGCGAGGGGATCGCGCCGACCGAGGAACGAGGTCGGGCGCGACACCCGAGCCAAACCTCTGGTTCTATTTTTGCCCCGCCGCTTGCCGGCTCTACTAATCATCCAAATTAAATAAAAAAGCCGACACCTGTGCGATTCGAACACACGCGGAGAAACTCCAATGCCTGACATAATAGCAGGGCATCGCCTTAACCACTCGGCCAAAGTGTCAACATGAAGTGTTGTTCTCCTCAACCTAAAGTGAAAATTGCGTAACAATGGCACTTGCTCAGGTACATGCAACTGGTACGATTTCACGGATTTGGGTGGATTTCACAGCCAAAGATCAAAATCCAGTCGAAACCGGGCTCAAAATCGAGTTGAAATCCAGCACTGTGATATTTTCTTTTTATCTGGGACGGTGCGAGGAAATCCTGGTTTGGAATAAATAGGGACGGTGCACGTTGTTTCGTAGCTAGTGGGGCTCGTTCTTTGTCGTTGTAGATTTGGGGTATTAATAAAGGTAAGGTATATGGAGAGAGAGAGTGAGAAGAGAGTGAGAAAACAGAGAAGAGGAGGGATGAGGAACTGATGAGGGAGATAGACCGTGACGTGCGAGCTCGAATGGGAGAAAGGAATAAGAATTCAAAGAAATATTTGAGACGCATCGTGTTAATAAACGTCCCGAGGCTTGAATAAATTTCCCGTCGCCTTAGGATTTCCGGCTCGGCCAGGGGCGTTGCGAGATGAAGCGGGCCAAAGTGGCGACGGGACTAAGCATCAATTGTAGTCATGTGAACGCGTTATTTGCCGATGACTTGGGATCCAAACACAACCCGGCTTTCACGCAGAAAATTTACTCGTCTCAATGCCCGATGCTTTCTTCGCCTCTTCGAAGCCCAGAAAACGCAAGCGATCTGATGTATCATCCGCTGGGCCATCCAACAAGAAATTCGCACGCAAAGATGCTTCAGGGGGTAAAAAACCGTTGAATGGCGCGCTGAAGCGGAATGGGAAGAGGCCCGTCGACGAGGAGCTCGATTCCGACCAGACCGACGACGAAGGCGGAGATATAGATAACCTGGACCTAACTGCGGACGTTGATGTGGACCCTGGGGCAAGTGGAGACGAGGACGACGAGGAGACGCCTGCTGAGAAACGTCTGCGGCTAGCCAAGCTCTATCTGGAGAGCGTCAAGGAAGGACTGGGTAATTCCTTGTTTCAGACTTGAAGAGTTGCCTCATTATTGTTCCTCAGCGGATGGAGAGTTCGATGCGGCTGAAATCGACAAAGAGCTGATTTCAGCGCGACTGAAGCAGGATGTCATGGAGCACTCGGGGAAGATGCATATTTTTATTGCGGACACAGTGCGGTCACCCATTCTATCTGTCTATCCCTTTTCCTTGACCAAAATATTTGTAGATCGACTTCGCACCGGCTCCGACTTGTATTCTACGCACGCGGGGACACAGATTTTCTGTAACATCTGCTGTCGCGTCGGAGTCCGGAAAATTCCTTTTCACCTCTGGGAAGGAGGGTTCTATCATTAAATGGGACCTTGCGTCCGGCAAAAAGCTTGCGACTTTTCCAAAAGTTCGGCCGCTCCAAACCACGTCAAAAAAAGGCAAAGCAAAAGGATTTGGGGACCCCGCAGTGCAGGGTCACACGGACGAGGTGCTTGCACTAGCGCTCAGTGGGGACGGCAAGTATCTTGCGAGTGCGGGCAAAGACCGGCGACTAGGCGTTTGGGATGCGGAAGCGGGGGTGTGGCTCAAGGGCTTCGTCGGGCAGATGGGTCACAAGGATATGATTTCCGTGTGTCTTGCCTCCGCCTTCTCTCCTCCTTGCACTAACCGACTCGTAGGCGTTGGCCTTCCGCAAGGGCACCCATCAGCTGTATACTGGCTCGTATGACCGAACCCTCAAGGTGTACGACCTGACGCCCGGGGTGATGGGCTATGTCGAAACACTGTTTGGACATCAAGACCATGTCCTAGCGCTGGATGCTCTACGCGGCGAAACCTGCGTGAGCGTCGGCGGCCGCGACAAAACCGTTCGGTACTGGAAGATCGTGGACGAGACGCAACTAGTATTTCGCGGGGGTGGACGGAGTCGGGTCAGAGAGGTGTTGGAGGGTGGGTTGCGCGACGGGGATGAAGGGGATGAAGCTGAAGAAGATGGCGCGGAGTCGAGTGTGAAGGCTAAGGGAAAGGAACGAGAGAAGGTCGCCAAATTCGTTGAGGGTAGCATGGAGTGCGTAGCCATGATCGACGAGACCACATTCGTCAGCGGAGGAGATAGTGGGTGAGTGGACGGAAATTTTCATAACCCTGACACTAAGGCATAACAGCTCGTTATGTCTTTGGACAACACAAAAAAAGAAGCCTGTATTTACGCAAGCGCTTTCGCATGGCTTCAATGAAGCCCAGTCTGCTACCGAGGGCATTATTCAAACGCCGCGGTGGGTCACGGCGGTCGCGAGCCTACGGTATTCGGATCTCATAGCTTCTGGTATGTGAGCCTTCATTATCTACATTTGTGATATGCTTATGAAGAGTAGGCTCTTGGGAGGGTGACATTCGAATATGGAAGCTCGACGCCAAGTTGAGGTCGTTCGCTCTCGTCGGCACGGTTCCAGCGCCAGGCGTCGTGAATTCACTTCAGTTCCTCTCTCCGCCCAAAGAGTTCTTTTCAGATGCCCAGTGGACACGACCTGCCGAATCAACTGCGAAACGGAGAGCAGGTGGCACAGTGTTGGTTGCAGGTCTCGGTCAAGAGCATCGGCTGGGGCGGTGGTTAAACCTTAAAGATGGCGTAGTCAATGGGGCACTGGTAGTAGCCTTTTCTCCAAGGACATTGTCGTAGCGTACAATAATACTAACTAATCGCTGCAGCTGCGAGACGAAGGACTTATAACAATAGTTTACAAAAATTGCGACAGGTACTCTTTCGACAATCCTACCGCCTCGTCAACTCTATTCACGTCAGTCCCAACACCTTGTGCACTGTCGTCTTTCCCCCCGGCCTGCACATAAAGTGAGATGGAAATCTAGGGACTACTTATGAACTGACCTTTCCCCCAAGCACTTCGCTAACTTTGGTTGCCCAGGCGCGTGCATCAGCTCCTTTGGCCTTCATCGAGGGAGGAACATAATTGACGTGCGCGACCTTGCTGCCGTCATTGTCGGCACTGAACACGTAGACGGCTTTCCCTAATTTCTTTCCTTGAGAAGCGACGTTTTGCAGAATCTGAGACAGCGGTGAGAATTTTTACTAAAAAAAATTGGAACGTGTGATACCTTCGCGTTCGCGTCGACGTTGAGGATAGCAATGTACGCTTCTGAGCTTTCATCGTCTTTGAAGTGTTGCTGGACCTTGTCGACGGCCTGCAATTGAAATCAGCACAGAGTATTGAAAACAGTGCGAACCACCAACCTCCTTGTTGACCGCAGCTTCCTTTTCCTTGTTCTGCTTGTCGAATGTTTTGCGTACGACCGCCAAGCGTTCCTTGAGTTCTGATTTATGGACTACTGAGATGTCTGCCTGGCCAAGTTCCTGCACAATGTTTATATCGAGTGCCCGGAAGGGAATGGAAGTAATACATACGACACCGAGAGTCTTTAAAGCGGAATCCTTCTCTTGGCCAGTTAACAGCTCCAATTGATCAAGCCGGGTTTTCAGGGCCTGAGCCACGCGGGTAACGTCTTGTGCCTCGTGTCCAGTTACTGCAGTAATACGGCGGATACCTTTGGCAATGCCAGATTCCTCGACAATGACAAAGTCCTTGATGTCACCAGTCTTGGCGACATGGCTTAAACGAAGTCAGCAGCGTTTACACACGGAAGGAAAACCCAACAGACGTTCCACCACAAAACTCGACGCTCGTGTTACGCCATTTGGGGTTAGATATGTCACTGGCAATTTCGTCGATATCATACTCGAGGGTAACGACCCGAACGGGGTCGGGGTATGATTCGCCGAAGACCGCCCTTAAGCCAGGGATCTTTTGAGCGGTCTCTAAGTCGAGCTCTTTACTGTGCACCTTGACGTTTTTTCGGATCCAATCGATGCTCATCGACTCGATCTTCGCGATTTCGGGCAAGCTAATCTGTGCCTTGTGCGAAAAGTCGAACCGGAGTTTAGTTGGCGCGACAAGAGAACCCTTCTGGTCGATGTGGTCTCCAAGAACCTCCCGCAGACAGAAGTTGAGGATGTGGGTCGCCGTGTGGTTGTTCCGTAATGGCCACCGGCGAAGCTACCAACAAAATGAATGAGCTTGTGATGTGAAGAGAGTAGATATATGACCTCACCTCGTCGTACGATGACACGACTTCGCTCCCAATCGCGAGGTGGCCGTATTTGAGGTGGCCGACGTGTAAAACATAGCCGTTGTAAACTTGAACACTGGTGACCTCAAAGTCGGCAACACCATCAATGACAATATTCCCTGTGTCGTATTCTTGGCCGCCAGACTCGGCGTAGAAACTTGTCTTGTCGAGAAGCAGGCCGAAAGAGGTGTTTTCTGGGATCTCGGTGGTGGACTCCACAAAGGTTTTGTTGTAAAATATCGACTTCACGGTGGCCGTCGTATTACCAAGAGCTGACGTGTGTGGTCCAATGAGAACGATGACGAGGAAATGTATCTGCATAATTACCGAATTTAGGCGTATCATCGGTCTTGGGTACGCTGCTGTTCTTTTCCAGCGCAGCGATGTCGTGGACGTCGAGTTTAACAGTACCGGTGGTATCCCGTTTGAGGGAAGCCTTACTGGCCTCTTTTGACCATGCTTGAGCGGCCTCAAACTCCGCGTCGTTGATCCCCAAACCCAACTCTTCGGCCATTAAACGCGTCAAATCCACGGGGAACCCAAAAGTGTCATATAAACGCCACACATCCTTCCCGCTGAGTTCCTTTAAATTTTGCTCCTGGGCGCGAGTTGCAAACTGATCAAATAATTTCTCTCCGCGGTCGAGCGTTCGTGAGAAGGATTCTTCCTCCTCATTTAGAATCTCTTTGATTTCGTCGACTTTCTTCGTGATCTCCGGGAAGATGTCGCCCTGAGCGAAAGAAAGTTGAATACTATACAAGAGACAACGAATCAAACGAACTGACCATAGTTTCGACGAGAACGGGCATGAGAGAAGAAAAGAAAGTGCCGATGGTGACCCCAAGTTTCTTACGCGCATATCGGGCGCCTCGCCGTAATATACGGCGCAGGACGTAGCCACGG